TGGGGTATGTTGGAGTAGGGGTCCCTTTTATACCGTGGAATACCTTGACCCCCAAGTAAGGCTTAGGGATATGTAAATTGACATGATATAACCAGATATTTTTTCCCCTCCGAGTAGGACTCCGGCAATTTATTAACTCATAGAGATATTTTCCATAATTTGAGATAAATTTCTAACGGCGTATACGGAAACGACCCGTACACGTGAGGGTATACCTTTTCAGTATATTTCATAAATCATAGGACAGAGGGTATGCCTTATCCGTAATCCTGACAGAGTACAACTCACTTTCATATTTATACTACTCTCAAGTAGGTTTAGAATATAGGAAGAGAGTGTGGGGAAGCTCCGAAAGTAGTGCCATAGATGTTGAGTTCTCTCAGGGAGAGTTTCGGAGAAGTGTCAAAGATGTCAGCACTCTCTCCTTTGGAGTCCTATAGAAGTCCTAGAGTTGTCTGCACTCTCTCCGATCTTGTACCTCTATAGATGCTTCTTTTATATAATTAAGAATTCTTCATTTCCTTTGGTATTTTTTTCTTATTTAAGTAAGATATATTCTCATCATTACGGGTCCATTACTTAGTATTTATATTAAGTACTCTAGATATAAAAGGAAGTTCTTGGCTGAGGCTAGAGTACTGATCAATAACATAAATGTAGTGTCTAGGTCAGAGGTTATTTGTTGTGTGCTCCACGAAAAGTGAGTTAGGTGGCATGTGGTGACAGTCCTATCAATCCTTCGTATTTCTCTATTCGGGTACTTCACAGAGCTATAGACTGGACTCCCTTGGCAGACCAGGGGTGAACCAGTGCCCGAAGCAATTCATACAGTTTTACCTTTAATTAATTAAGATTATTAACCATAGGAATCCTCTTTATCCTAAGCCTAACATTTAGTTGTTGTCATTGGATTAATCATGTTCTTATATTATATACACACGTTCCCTGTGATTCAATACCCTTGTAATACTCTGAGGTGAAGTGCTATATAGGTATCCATTCGCTTGTAGAGTTATCTATGACCGTAACAAATACTAATAGTCGGACTGTAGTTGTCTGGTCGATCGGATCGGCGGTCCCGAGACCAAGTCCAATTAAGGCTTATGCTTCCTTTCTAGGGTCTGATGTTTCTTGAGTCGTAATTGATTTATAAGCCAAATAGGGCGTGGAGAAGGCCTAACCGGTTTCATTCTATTCTAATCTTCGACTCTTACACAATCGATCGAATTGTTCTTTTACCTTTACTTTTTAACCATGTTTTCTATTTTACACAAGTTTGGCTAACTTTGTCAATTAACCATGTTTTCACCACTGGAGCTTGACATCCTTTGTAGATTTATCCTGTAAATCTTCTGATTTGCCTACGAGATAGGTGGCTATCTTCAAATCTATCTAAATCGGCTCTGGTAACCGGCTTTGATCTTTTCTAAATCTATTTTGATCAAGGTGGTTGGCCTTCACGAACACCACAAATCAATACGTAAGTCTGTATTGATCGGAAAAGGTGCCAAAAGTGATATTGTCTATCGTGGCCTACCATAATTAAGACATGGGTTGGTGGGAAAGTGTTTAGAGTATCCTACATTCTAGGCTGAGGGTGTGTTTAGTTCCCGCCAAAATTAAAAATTTGATTGAAATTAAAATGATGTGACGGAAAAGTTGAAAATTTATGTGTGTAGAAAAGTTTTGATGTGATAGAAAAGTTGAAAGTTTAAAGAAAATGTTAGGGACTAAAGTAGCCCAGAGTGTCTTGATCGTGAGGAATGGATGGTCGTCTTTCGTGCCCTACCACAATTAAGACACGGCTAGCTCTGTTCGATGTACAGTTAAATTACTGTATATCTTTTTTTTTCTATATTCCTTGTTACAACCCATAAAGTGCAATTACTACTATCAAACAGCCATCATATTAAGCCATGTCATCATCAATTTATTATTAGTTGAATTTCATCTGGACGTCTTGCGTTACTCATTTTCTTACTGTCCACAAGCATATTTGTTGAGAAATAAGCATAACCTAAGGGTATTCCCATATTCCGATACAAATAATTTTTCTATTCGTTATATTTCTATACAAACAACTATGCAATATTATTTAGGCTAACAAACTTAACTTTTAGAGCCCAAAAAAATTTAAGCCCGATTAAGAACTTCTACTTTGGAGTATTATCTAGAAATTACCATAGTTGAGACATTCAAGATTGATGGTGAGATGGCTGGAAATTGATAAAATAGATTCTAAGTTTTTTCACGTGAAGCGAAGAGACAACAGATGGAAGGCGATTCCGGTACTCACGCAGTCACGCTCTGGTAAGTCGCTTATTCACGCTCTGGTAAGTCGCCTTGACTGATCTGCTCGCTAGGACTCGCCCTGTCTTCAACCACCATCTGCCAATTGCCATCACTCATTTAACAGGTACATTTAAATCATTTTCCTTCTTTACTAATTTGTCTTTTAAATGGTACGGTTACATTATTTCCGAACAGAGGTCGACTCTCAATATTTAATATGTATATATATCTATAACTAATATAAATATTCGTATTTTTTCGGTCGTCACATCTAATTTTCGTCCGTTTTTAGTCCATGCACAATCTGATTCGATTAGCAACAGGGATAGAAAAAATTGCAAAAAAAAATGCAAAAAAAAAACACCGCCGCCGGAGGAGAAGAGAGGCGGCGAAGGGAGCGCCGCTGCCGGAACCGCCCGCGGTGGCCGCCACCGTCGACGGATCCACCCTCGGACGAAGCCGACGCCGACGGGGAGAGGGAGAGGAAGATGGAGGGGGAGGGACGGCTGTCTCCGCCGCACCCCGCCGTTGCTGCGCCGTGCCGGCGAGACGGGAAGGAGAGCCGCTGCCGCTGCCGCAGCCCTCCATCGTCGCGCCGTACCGGCAAGAAGGGAGGGAGAAGGGAAGGGAAGCGGCGCCGGTGGTGGGAGAGGCGGCCGGCTGGGGGAGGGGGAGAGGCGGGAGATGGGGAGAGGGAGCGGCGCCGCCGGAGGGAGGGAAGGGGAAGCGGCGCCGGTGGTGAGAGGGGGAGGGGGAGAGGCGGTGTCGGGAGTGGGGTGGGGGACGAGGCCTAGCGGCTTGGGGGGCGGGGGGGAGGGGTAGGGAGGGTTAGGGTTAGGGTTAGAGTTTTGATAAGGCCGTGGGCCGACCGGAAGGGATGGAAATAAGTCTATTTTAGGTCCCTCGGGCCGGAAATAAGTCTAAATAAGTGTATATTAAGTCCCTCAGGCAAAAAAAAAAAGAGAAGTTTATTTTTAGTGCTTCATTTTTTAGAAGCATTTACATTTATAGTTATTGAATGTGTTTATTTCTAAGCAAACCTAAAAGGAAGGATTTTCTTTCTTTTTCCAATTAAATAATTATTAAATGATGTTTGTATTATTAAAATTAGCAATTAAGCTCTGAAAATTCCAATAAAATTCCAAAGAGCGTAACTAATCATGGAGAATTTAATAAAATTAAATTTAACAATGTCATTTTATTTCTCACACTTGCTTTACTTGTAAATTTATTTAATTATACACATACCTACTTAAAAATACCAAATATTTCAGCAAATTTGTATTTTAATTAATTGCATATTTTTTCTGATCTGTGCGCTTCCCGGTGCAACGCACGGGCACTTTTGCTAAACCAAACAACAATTTTGATCAATATACACACTCCGTAATCACCCGGTGCAACGCACGGGCACTTTTGCTAGGAAAGTTTATATATGTATGCATACAAAGTTCGTATACATAGTATATATATAAACTTTGTATACATATGTATGCAAACTTTGTTGACATGTATATATTTTTTATACATTAAAAGTCTATACATATTAAAAAATAGGAAAAAGTGCGAATTACCCCCGAACTATCACCGTCGGCCGAATTACCCCTGAACCACAAAACCGGACATTCTTCACCCCCCAACTATGCAAACCGAACGAATTACCCCCCTCGACCTAATCCGCGGTAGTTTTGGTCTACGTGGCATACATGTGGCCGTCCAGTCAGCATTTTATTTGTTTTAAATGGTGGGACCCACAAGTCATACCACTCTTTCTCTCTTCCTCCATCCCTCTTTCTCTCTCTTCTTCAGTCAGCAGCGGGCAGTGCTGCACACGCCGGCACGCCATGGTGGAGAGGTGAGCGCCGGCGGAAGCGTCGGCGAGGGGATGCGATGGGCAGCGGCGCGCGGGGGCGGGCCGGTGGTCGGTGCGCACAGCGGCGCGCAGGGAGGTGGAGGGGATGGGGGAGAGGCGGGCGCCGGCGTCCATCGCGGAGAGGCGGGCCATCGTGGCGCCGGCCGGCAGCATCTTGAGGACGGCGGCGTGAGGCCGCAGCGGTGGTGGTCCAGGCAGAGCACGAGCGCAAGGAGGCGGAGCGGTCGGCTGAGGTAAAGCTCGCGGTGGCTGAGGTGGAGACGGACCGAGCGAGCGGCGACGGAGGCGGAGGCCGTTGCGCGACTGCCTCCTCGCGGACCTCGCCCGTGGCGGCGGTCGGCGCCACGACGGCCCACCTCTCCGCTAAGGCCGCCTCTCCCCCATCCCTTCTACCACCCCGCGCGCCGCCGTGCACGCTGACCGCCGGCCCGCCGTTGCCACCATCCGAAGCTTACTCTCCGCCGCGCCCCATCCGCGCCACTCCCGCCGCCGCCTGGAGCGCCCCCCTATTCGCGCCCGCCGCCGCTCGCCGCCGACCGGTTCCCCTCCCCGACTCACCCGCTGCTGGCCGGAGCCGCGCCCGCTGCCGCTCCCGTCAATGCTAACAGCACACACATAGAGGATGGGAGGGCGCCTTCCGCCTCCCATCTTGAGGACGCAACTCAATCACTCGATCCGTGTGTACGCGACGCGATGCTTGCAAAGCAGTTGCAATCAACGTATGCCGTCACGCGCCCGCCGCGACGGGGAAGCCAATGCAGCGGCACGTCGACGGGAACATGGCGAAGAGGAAGCTATCCGCCACGCCGGCCGCCATGGGCACTGCCGCGAGCAACTACCTCGTCGCCGGTGACTCCACCGGGTAGAAGTGCGCCACCACGTTGTGGTCCACCATGGCCACGGCCAGGAACACCGCGAACGACAGTGCGCCGTGCAGCACGTCGCGCGCGCCGAGCCTGTACCTGTTGTCCCTCGGCGGCAGCGAGCCGGAGCCGTCGATGAGGCGGAGGCGGCCGCTGGGCGTGACGAAGTCGTAGCGCACGGCGCCCGTGCCGTCGCGGTAGCTGTTGGAGAAGCAGAGCAGGAAGCAGCAGAGTGCACAGGCTCCGACGAGGCAGGCGGTGAGCGCGCGGTTGGCGGCCGTGCAGCTGCCGTCCGCGGTAGAGGACGGCGAGAGCACCCCGAAGGCGAGCACGACGCTGGTTGGGAGGTGCTTCGCGAGGTCGGCCGTGCTGTTCAGCGCCTTGCAGACGAGGCTCGGCGTCGCCTGCGCTAGCGGTTGCATCGTCTGGCCGTCGTCCGATGACGTCAGCAGCGGCGCCTTCGCCTCCGGGGACTCCTCGTCGCTGCCGCTTGGCCGCGACGCGATCACGAACAGCCATCACGAACAAGAACAATGACTAGCTTACTTACCGGCAGCGGCGGCTCTACCTGTGGATGCCGCAGACGCCGTCGTCGCCGTCGACGCTGCCGTAGGGACGACCGTCGCCGAGAGGGAGGGAGGGACGGCCGTCGAGGCCGACGGGGAGAGGGAGAGGGGGAGGGAGGGACGGCCATCTCCGCCGTCTCCGCCGCACCCCGCCGTCGTCGCGCCGCCCGCACCCCGCACCCCGCCGTCGCCGTCGCCTGCGCCGTGCCGGTGAGACGGGAGGGAGAGGGAGCGGTCCACCGTCGCTGCCGCACCCCACACCCCGCCGTCGCCCGTGCCGTGCCAGTGAGACGGGAGGGAGAGGGGGAGAGGGAGAGGTCCGCCGTTGCCACCACACCCCGCCGTCACCCGTGCCGTGCCGGTGAGACAGGAGGGAGAGGGGGAGAGGGAGCGACGCCGCCGCCCGCCGGAGGGGAGGGGAGGAGAAGCGGCGCCGGTGGGGAGAGGGGGAAGGGGAGAGGAGGCGTCAGGGGCAGGGGAGGGGGCCGCCAGAGGGGAGCGGGAAAGGCGGCGTCGGGGGCGGGGGAGGCGGCCGGCTCGGCTATGGGGGAGGGGGACGCCGGAGGGGAGTGGAGGGGGAGAGGCGGCATTGGGGGCGGGGGAGGCAGCCGGCTCGGCTGGGTGGAGGGGGAGGGGGAGGGTTAGGGTTTCATCTATTTCAAAATGATCTGAGCCGTCCGTCAAAATGAACGATTGAGATCGATCGAGGGTTTGGGCCGCACCACTTGGACTGCACGCGGGCTAACTGTCCAGCTAGCGAGAGAAAGAGTATAGGGATATAAATTAGACTTTGATCGCTTGCGGGCTGAAGAAGAAAGTGGGCTGAAAAAGGCCCATAGAGATAAAAGAATTTTTATTTAGATTTTTATTTAAATAAACACTAAAAAGATATTTGTATTATCAAACTTAGCAATTAAGCTACGTAAATTCCAAAAGAATTTCAATGAGTAATTAATGATATTGAAAATTTAATAAAAATTAAATCCAACCATAACATTTTATTTCTCACACTTACTTTACTTATAAATTAATTTAATTGTATACCTAACTACTTAAAAAATACCCAAATATTTCCAACCATAACATTTTATTTCTCACACTTACTTTACTTATAAATTAATTTAATTATATATCTACCTACTTAAAAAATACCCAAATATTTCAGAAAATTTGTATTTCATTTAATTAGAATTTAATATGTTCTAATTCAATTTTATCTTTTTTTTCTTTCCGTTGCAACGCACGACCAGTTTTGCTATAATTTCAAAGAGTGTAATTAATATTGCAGAAAATTTATATTTTATTAAATTAGAATTTAATATGTTTTAATCCAATTTTCTCGTTTTTTCTTTCGCGATGCGAACTAAGCAGGAATATTTTTATCCATCTTGATTATCATTAGCGCAATGAATAATTTACCTATCTTAGAACATTATTATATACATGTTAACGGTGTACTTTATAGAATTTAACCGTTCCTTTACCCGTAACGAAGCACGGGTATTTTGCTAGTTAATATAAAATCATGGGAAGGATGTGTGCGTGTGTGAACACTAAAGATTAATAATTCTCCGTGATTGAGGAAGCATGAAACTCATTTCAGAAAAAGAAAATGCTAATTATGATTTTCGGGACAATGCTCTAAAGCAATTAATGATTGGTAAAATGACAGCATGGTTCAGCATAACCTCACGTCATTTTGTACTAGTACGTATTGGCTCATTAATTAAACGAGATGGGTGTTTGTATCGCGAAGAGCAGGTACAATAGCAGCAGTCTATAAACTACTTATAAACATAATTTAAAGATATAAAAGAAAGAGAGCGTAAAGCAACAGGTTACAGATATGTAGCTAGCTGCAGCGTGCACTCTAATACATAACGTGTGTACGATAGGTGGGATCAGATATTAATAATATAATAAACAACTATTGAATTGACTGTTATATTGGCTATAGATAATTTAAAGTTAGTAGTGGCTACACTATTAAACACTTGCTCGAAGCCAATTCGATCGCAACGGATTACTCGTCAAAAATTAACGAGTCAAAAAGAATAGGAAGGACAAACGCATAAGGTTGCTATCGGATTAATGAGTCGAACGTGACAGGTAGGTAGAGCTGTAAACTGCTTAGGGTATTCACAATGCGCTAAAAAGCAAGCAATAAGTAATAAATGCACCCATTGAAGATAATAGCAACATCCAGGCAGTAGTTAGTTCTACTGTCGGCAAAAGAGAAATAAAATATAGGCAAAATCAATTCTTTGATTGTAACTCATATCTAGATCGATCTTTTCTAGGACTGGATAAGAGCACTCTATAACACATGTATATCTTAGCAATAGACTAGATTAATAGTAAACCTCTTTAATAGTATGTCTACATGGGTATCTATAGCTCTCTAATCTATTGTCTCGTTTTTCTCTATAGACTATCTCCAGGTTAGTAGATAGTTTTGCTCTCTCTTCATTTAATCTCTTCCAAGTAGAAAAATATGCTGACATGGATCTCTTGTAAAGAGCATATAGATAATTATTGCGGGTGTCCTAATAGACAAGTCTTATTCCAACAATTAATCGTCCTACTCGATCCCTGAGCTACGTTCTTTTGTGCTGTTCCCTTTGTTGTTCTGTACTGCTCTCCAAGAGAAAACATGAAGATGGCTAACATGAATGGGACTTTTATGGCATAAATACAACAAACAAACAAGTTTTTTTTAGGATTCCGCACCCACATTTGTAAACAGAGATCGATGCAGAAATTCATAGTATATTATTACAAGTTCTTTTTTATGAAAAAACAACTGCATATTCCATACTGCGTCATGTTAATATAATATAAATATATACTCTCAGTATTGTCATCAAGTGTATTGTAGTATGTACGATAGAGAGAAAGATAAAATAATTATACAAAGTCGTCAAGCCATGATTGCCATGTTCGTTACGAACTACAAATTTTCATACCCAAAAGTGAAATATAATGCGACCAGATGACAAAACAATGAAATATATAATTTCAAGTTACTCAGCCTATTGCTAAACCTCTCCATCCGGAATTGTATCCTCTGACTTCGGCCTTCCTTAACATTACTCTGTAATTACTCTGTAGCCACCCTAATCTACCGTCCAGCAGCAATCCAACGACTCGCTCTCAGATGCCTCGCGTGGTGTGGTGCACCCTGCCCGGTGCTGGCTCGGCTCTCCTACCCAAGGCTTGGCTTGCTCGCTGTTTTGGGAGACAGCAGGACGCGCGAGACGGTGAGAACTGCGCGAAAATTTCCTGCAATCTAAATTTCATTTAGAGAATAGATACTGGTGGACAAACCCTTTTTAGTCCCGGTTCATAACCACCTATAGTCCCGGTTAAAATAACCGGGACTAAAAAAAGGATCTTTAGTCCCGGTTGGAGTTACTAACCGGGACTAAAGATCAGTCCCGGTTAGAGTTACCAACCGGGACTAATGTTCTTTTTTTCTTTTTCTTTTACTGATGCATGCATGATTTCGAGCCCCACAAATCATTCTAACACCACATATCATTCACAAAATCCCCAAATACATCAAGCTGCATTTTCTATCTCCAAATACATCACAAATCATTCACAAAATCACAAAATCATCCCCACAAATTCATTCACACATCACACATCACACAGATCAGAAAAAAAATCACATCGCATAGATCGGCCGCACAGATCAGAAAAAGAAATCCACATCGCATAGATCGGCGGCACACATCGCACAGATCAAGAAAAAACCACATCGCAGAGATCGGGTGCCGGCCGTCCGCCGCCTCGCCGGCCTCCGGCCTGGCCGCCTCGGGCTCCGCCGCCGCCTGCCGCCTCGGCGGCCGGTGCCTGCCCGCTGCCGCCTCAGGCTCCGCCGCCCGCCCAGGGAGCGCCGCCACCTCGTTGGCCGCCTGCTCGGCCGCCCAAGGAGCGCCGCCGCCTCGCTGGCCGCCTGCTCGGATGCCCGCCTCGCCTGCCTCGCGGGCCGCCGCCTCGGCCGGCTGCCTACCCGGCTGCCCGCCTCGCCTGCCTCGCGGGCCGCCGCCTCGGCCGCCTGCCCGGCCTCACGTGGTAGGAGGAGGAGGAGGAAGAGAAGAGAAGGGAGAGGAGAAGGGATGGAGGAGGATAAGGATGGAGAAGGGATGGAGAAGGATGGAGAAGGGATTAATGAGAGGGGAGGGGAAAGAAAGGGGGAGAGACCGAGGCGGCCGGGCGGGGCAGTGGCACCAGCTCGCTTGATTTTTTTTGTCCCGGTTGGTATAAACAACCGGGACTAAAGATGGATACCAACTGGGACTAAAAAAGAATTGGGGTCTAACTCGGTCCGATAACTTTTTGAACCAGGACTAAAATTGATCTTTAGTCCCGGTTGGTGTTACCAACCGGGACTAAAGATCAAAAATTTTTTAACCGAGACTAAAAATAATCTTTCGAACCGGGACTATTGTGGATTTTGGACGACCGAGCAAAGATGGTTTCTCCACCAGTGAGATTGGTTATTAGAATAGCTTTTTGGATAATAGCTTTTGGAGAATATCTATTGTCATTGAAGTGCAAAGTTATGGGAATTGCAACTCTGGACAACAGATCATTTTGTCATTTTGTGCATTTCTGAACTTGCAACAATCAACATTACTTTTTATTCAATTCCAAGAAAAAATACAACACAATGTCAATCTGTATACAGGTTCAAACGAAAAAGAAAAATAAAATGAAGCTGGAAACGCTAGTGTTACAATCATGGTGCAGTCATAACATAAAACGTGAACAGCTAGCCAAAGCAGAACTAGAATTCTACAATGTCTGAAGTCAGCTGCCCCTCCTGCTTGAAGTTGCTGATCCATGAC